CTTATTTTATATTTTAGCTAGTCAATATCAGTAATCTGAGTTCCTAATTCGTACGAAACTATAAACTTAGTATTTTGACATCACAAACATCTAATTTGAACTAGTGCTGCATTCAATATACCATTGCATTCTACATTTTGATACCAAAGTTACTGACATAAATTCCTGAAATAGTAGTTCAATAAAATTTTGAATGTGAGTCAACAAACATGATGACATGGCCTTTCACCCATGACCCGTCTGGAAAAGGTTAATAGTGTGTGTCATTACCAACAACTGCAGTAAACCCAGACAAACAAAAATATGGGATAAGTGCCTTGGATTGAGAATATTATGATAGTGCATAATATAAAGCATAACAATGATAGCCCTCTTCTCACAGCATGGGCACATATGACTAGGAAGTTCTAATTACAGTACAAATCCCACTCGTGAGGAAACCTCCATGGTCCACCACTCCAGCGACTGGGAAACGGAAGTGGCAAAGACCTCTTGCTCCAATAGAAGGGGGGAGTACTCGTTGGGGGGTCCAGAGGAACAACACACAGGAGATAGTGCAATGTGCATCTGTGTTTTTCTATTTTGAAAAGCAGAAAGACCCTGATTGTAAGAATCACGGGTCAGCAGGGATGGGCAAAAATCACTATCTGCTTTACTCATGAAGTCCATGAGTGATGGTTTACAGTATATATATATTGATAAGAAAATAAGTGATATATAGATATAGATACACAGGGAGTCTTACAGAAATGCTCCATCTCCACAGTGAACGTTAGAAAAAGATGCAGAGTTAGTGCTACGATAAAAAATCCAGCATACCTGACCAGGCAACACCTGCCAATAGGTGGGATCCTGAAATACAATGTAAAGCAACTGCAAAAGAAAAAGAAAATGGATATAATATGTCAACTTACCCCAGTCAAAGGCAAACAGACATGTGGAAAATTGTCACAGGCGGAAGATGATATCCTGACTGAGGAAGACACAGCTAGATCATGCAAATAATGTGTGATAAAAGTATTGAGAGTTGTCCACATATCGGCTTGAATAATCTCCTCCAAAGGATAGTGGTTCCGAGCAGCTAAGGACATAGTTAAATGCCATATTTGGTGCGAAGAAACAATAAACAGCTGATGACCTTCCACCAACAAGTCAGAATAAGCTAGACGTATGAGTTGCTGAACCCAGCCAGTAAGGGTGTAGGAGAAAGATCATGGGAAACAGAGGGATTCCACAAAATAACAAGGCAAGAATGGGAACCATGAAAGGAGTCAGTACGAGACTTATAACAGTGCAGGGAATGAACTGGACAAAGATGATGATCCAGATCTGAACGGGAGTATAAATGGAAAATGGAAGGCAAGGAAATAGGAGAGAAGGCAAAATAATCTTCAGGAGCACCAGATATTTTAGGAAGGAAGGAATGATCGGGATATAGTAGAACACAAGAAGAATGGTAAAGGGTGTGGGAAGTATTAATAGCAAAAATATCAGAATGACAACGACCACTAGCTAAGAGAAGAAGGAAATACATGTAGGTCTAAAGAGAAAGATGGTACAAAAAACACATAGCAATGGGTACAAATGGAGAACAAGCCAGAGCATGAAGAATCACATTGAGATCCCCATCTGGAAGCACAAAGGGATGGGGTGGACAAACAAGACAAAAGTAACGGAAAAAGAAGGGAGGAGAAGGATTCACGAAAACGGTAGAAATGGAAGGTGTTGGACAGGGCAGCCCAATAATTAGAAACAGTGGACACAGACAAACCCTAATCAAATAACCAGGTAAAAAACTGGGACATATGAGGAACAGAAGGATGGGAAGAATGGAAGCCATGGTGAATGGACCACTGTCTGAAGGTAGACAAACATCTCTGATACATAGACAAAGATGAAGGTCGAATGGTATGGGTAAGCAAAGAGTCCCCGAGCAGAGGCAATGGACAGAACATAAGCCACGTGTGATGATGGAGTTTGGTGATGTTGGGATGAAACATGTCCGATTGAGATTGTTAGAGGAGTGACTGGGACAGAGGTAAGGACAGGGGCTGTTGCTCCAGTAAGGGCCAGAGCAGAGGGAACCACATCTGAGCTGACTAATACAGAGCAATTGGCAGAATACAAGGAGTGGTCTGGATAAGGGAACTAATCTGGAGATGAGTCTGATTGGAGGGTAAGCATACAGATGAAGGCCTCTCCAATCCTGACTGAACACATCCACCCTCAGAGCTGAGATATGTGGTACAGGAGACCAAAAGGAAGGAAGTTTGGCATTCCAGTGAGTGGCAAATGCATCTATATGTGGTGTTTCTAGGTGAGAACACACCCACTGAAAAACCTGAAGATGGAGGAACCACTCCATAGGAAGGACTTGGTTGGGACAGGACAGGCAGTCCACAGCCAAATTCATAATTACAGGAACACGACACACCAAGATTGTTATGTTGTAGTTGTGGGCCCAGTACGTGAGGTCGAGTGTTTAAAAACACAGAGACCAGGACTTGGTTAGTGTTATAGCTGACGACAGTAGAACTGTCAGAATGAATCATAACTACCTGTCTCCACAAGAATGGGAGGAAATAATTGAGAGCCAAAAGTTCCAGGAGGTTAATATGGAAAGTAGTTTCCTCAATGGACCACTGACACAAAATCTCCCGACAGTCGAGGGAAGCCCCCAATCCAACAATGAAGCATTGTTGAACAGATGAAAGTCGAAATGAGGCAGGTAAGAACAACCCCCACTGTGGTAAAAACTCTGTCGAGCTAACAAACAAGGTCAGCCCTGATTCCTGGGGGAAGGGTGATAGGGATCATGGGAGAAGTTTCACTGGTCAAGAAGTGTTTACTAAAGGGAACACGTGCACTCAATCGAAGAGAATGAGAGCTTCCAGGCAGGCCCACATCCCCAAAAGAGATAGAACCTCTCGAGTAGTAAGAGAAGGAGAAGATAGTCCTTGAGCGACCACCCGCTACCTATCCTGGAGCTGAAGGCTGGGAGATGGGAATTGAAGAGAACCCCAAAATGACTTAGAAAAGACTTGATGAAAAACCCCTGAGCAGACTCACAAAAAAGGGAGCAGATGTGAGTGACAGACTGGGCCTGAAAAGAGGCGAGCAGTAGCCAGTCGTCCATGTAAGGATGAGTGTGAAGACCCAACAAGTGAAGATGACGTACAAAAGAACGAACAACATGACAGACCACATAAGAAGCTGAAGCAAGACCAAATGGCAGTGCTTGGAACTGAAAGACACTGCCCCACGTGGATGAACTGAAGATAACTACGTGACTCCGGAGCAATGGGAATATGAAAATAAGCATCTGTCACGTTGAATTTGGTCATCCAAAGACCTGGGGAAAAAAACCAACAAAGGGAGAGGTAGGGCTCCATGGTGAATCAGGGTGTTTCTAGAAAGGTATTAAGCCAGGATAGATCAATGATGGGTCTCCAATCTCCTGTCTTTTTGGAGACAACAAACAGATGGGAGTACAATCCTGGAAGAATTGGCACCACTCATTCAATAGCTCCTTTGTAAAGATCTCAAACCAACTCTGCTAGATAACTGGACGAGACACAATCCTGAGAAGGAGGAGGAAAGGAAACCAGGATAGAAGATAGGGGGGAGGGGACCAGAACCCACGGTACTGTCATGAAGAGTTCCCAGATGGCTGAAAACAATTGTAACCTGGCCCCCACCTGCCTTTGAAAATACATTCCATCACTGATAATGCTGATCCCTATAGGATCGCGAACAGGCAGAATGAGCGTAAGGAAAGGAATGCCAGGAGTATGGTAAGGGATGTGGAGAGGGAAAAGGGGCATGGGGAACCCTGACAGGTGAAGATTAGGTAGCAACAGTAGGACGAGACAAACAAGAGGCCAGGAAGGACAAGGAGGAATGTAGCCTTGCCACATTGACCTTGGACTCCAAAGACTCAGGACAATCCCCAAAGACCATTTTGGATTGACAAAGAACCCTCAAAGAAGAAAGGGGGAGATGCACCCCTGCAAGTAATGCATAATGCTCCAGCAAATCCCAACAACATAAGATCCAGGTGGTGAGAGACAGTGGTAAAGCTGACAAAAGGGTCCTGAGTTTTGTCGGGAATTGATCAGGAGACTAGGAGAAGGCTTGGGATAACAATTGTAATGAGGAAATAACACGTAAGAGGGTGGTCAAAGTAAGACAAACCCTAGAAAACTGGGACCTATTAAAATGAATAAAAGTGTCAGGATTTGAGCTCCAAAAGGAAACGAGAGGATCCAAATGTTGTGAATTTAAATATGGAATCGAGGCATGTTGGTAAGTGAAAGAATACTGGTCCAACAGCCAAGAGGGACAGGATATACCCACACCCGACTGCAATTGATCAGCAAAATGTTTAGCATGAACAAGAATGTTGGGTGAAGGAGGAAAAAATAATAATCACGATGAGAATTGTAACCCAACAAAGAAGGAGCAGAATCAAGGGCTAATGGTGAAACATGTAAAATTTGACATATCTGATCAATAAGTTGTAGGAAAGGCATGGTTGGCAAACTCTCCTAACTGTCAGCATTATGTGACTGGCCTAAAAAAGCTGGGGCCAAAAAAATAGAGTTGAAATTGTCCTCAGCCTGATGAAAAACTGCCTCACAAACATATTCTTGAGGAAAAGGAGAATGAAGAACAAAGTAAACACACGTGAGGATTGTGCTGAAATGGTAGAGGGAGCTACCTGTGCTAGTATAGGTGGCGCAGTATGATTGGTGAAGGGTAATCACATGATCAGCACATGCTGCAATGATGCAGAAATGAAGGGTGCATTGTTTTAAATTTTAGCAATGCTTAGAGGGCAAATCAAGATCAAGATAGCTTTGTGTGAAAAGAGATAGTACCATTTCGGAAAATAAACATTTCTTACAGGCCTTCTCTTAGTATGTTTTTGTGCCTAATACAAAGTAATATAGTTCCAAGTCAAAAATAACTTATAAAACTTTTGAATTTCAATAGCTTTAAAAAAAAATACATATAAAATAAAACTTTCAGTAAACTGAACAAAAATATAAAAAAGGATTAATCTATGGTCAGTCAAACAAATTTAAACTACTTATCAATACATTTATAGTTGTGTAATCAAACTGACATCAAGAAGCTGACCACTGAGTTGTGTTAAAAGGCAAGGTTAGTGTTTGCAATATCAGGAAATATACTTAGAAAATATTTCTATCAATGACAACCCATAATTTATTCCACTTTATTTTAATATAATGTAAATGAGTTTAGAATAATAAGATCAATGAATCAGTGGGAGGGGAAAATACACTTGTCACAATGATCAAAAGTAGATTAAATAAAAAATATTTTATATGAAGTGATGGTAAAAAAATGTTTCATCATACAACAAATCAAAAAGCTTACCATACTTATAGTAACAATCTCATTATAAGCTTGGGATGACTCTCCAGCTATAGCACCAGCAAACTTGAGATTTTCTACTCCTAGACCATCTTCCTTACCTTGGTGATCCAGAAAAGATGCAAATTTTAAACAATATAAACAAATTCAATACAAAAAATAAACATCAAAAAAAGATGATCACACAGAATTTCTTAATTTTTTAAAAAATTCGATATAACTTATTATAATGTAGCAAACACACACAGCAGTTTTTTATGGACGTTCTGTGGTAGTTTTTATCTGCTTTTAACCATTTTCAAATACAATTTTACGTTCAAGAAGAGCTGTACCTGATGAAAATTAAACTGATATATCGAAATGTATTAGCTTCCACGTAGTTGAAAGGATAATGACATTATCAAAAGTAAAATATCATCCAACCTCAGACCCATAGGTAGTTGAAGCAGATATACGTTCTCAAGGATAACTGACTGCTTTTTAAATAATTCCCACAAAATGAACAATTACACATAGCTCATAATAAAATAAAACCTAATATTTGTATTAGTTTTTTTAATACAATCAAATCTTTGAGACATAAGTAATTAGAAAAACAAACAAACAGTACAAGTGAGTGTTCAAGTCATGGTAACTAATCTAAACAAAGAACAATTTTACTTATACATATTTTTTTAATCAATGTGGAATCAGAAATATTGTAACTCTGGTTTCTTAATGCTGATGTAAGAGGGAAATAATGAAACACACACTCTAGTAGTGTATTTCATCAGGTGCAATATCAGTCCATACACTATCTTAATATAAATCTATGAATAGGAAACAGCATTATATGATGTAAAATATCAATCTCTTCAAAAACTGGGCAAAATGTTCTACATACACACTTTAAGTGTATATATATATATATATATATATATATATATATATATGCCCATATCCATATATATTTATTCAATCATTAGATAAAAACACTAAAAATAACTTAGTGTATTCAAAAACATTATATGAGCCGAATATTAGATATAAACATAAATACGGTATTTTTTCTAAATACAAATATCATTTGACTTTTGAGTTTCAATTAAATTATTAAAGACTGACCAATAACAGCTTTAACCATATAACGAGATTCATTTTCGTCTTCAATCATCTCTGCAACGACAGAGTTCTGAGAACTAATTTTCTTGTAGTCATCAGGAGTGAGGTAAAGATACTTAAAACCCTATGACAAAAATAAGTTAACAAGGGTTAAGATTTGTCTTCCAATAAGGAAATTTAAAAGTATATAAAGTTCGTTTTTACAAGATTTTTCAGGGTTGTAATATGTCTAATACTAATTTTTATAAATTAAAAATCTCATGAAACACTTTTCTTTTCCAAGAATGAAATGTTCTTGGAATACACATGAAGAAAATTCATCAGTGTTTAATAATAAAAAAAAATTAAAGATGTAAAATTCACAAATAAAACTTTATTCCACATTTTGGAGTGTCAAAGATACACAAGCAGTTGAAGATGCCAATATTAAATGTCAAATATCTAATGAATATGAAATAAAAACTAAATATACTTATAATTTGGAGGTATATCCTTGCATCAGAACTATAAACCCCATGCATGGTAAATCTTCGTCTACTGAAGAGTTGAAGATGAATAAAACGTACCTTATCTGGCACTGAAGGATCTATCCAAGCAACACGAAACAGTTGTTTCACTTCATTAGCTAAACCAATACGAGCACCACTATTGGCTGATATGTACAAACGGGGAATTCCAAGTGTTCGTGCCTTCTCAGAGGCCCTCTGTGAATGATAGTGAAAATAGTATGTTACTTGTAATTTTTATTAAGTATCTCTTAGCGATGCAATTAAGACAAAAAAGATATCAAAACTATGTATTATCTAATATTCAAAAAATTTTACTGACTATATTAGTTGCACTTTTAGTTTACTGTTTTTACAATGGAAAAAACAAAGATCAAAACTAATTTCAGGAAGTAAAAAGGAGTTATGCTCCAAAATTTTGTGACGTTCTGATAATTTGCTTATTTTGTTACATATAGATTCATTTTCCAAAATCAACATGAAACTCGGAAAGCATCATACGAAATAATATCAGTATTCCCAGTGATTCATTGGTATGGAAAACAGAATTGTTTTATATTATTAAATCACCAGCTGAAACATATTATAGACATTTAATTACACAAATAGAAATATTAAGTAAAATTAAATACTAAGAATAAGGTACTAATTATTTATTAAATAACTGAAAAGAGCGCACCAAGAAAAGAACATCTTCTTTTGGCCCAAAGCTTCCAATAACATGGGTTATGTCATTACAGATCAAGATGACTTGACGACCTGTACGACATTCAGGAGTGTAAAGAGTCATGTGCCAGGCAACCATTCCAATCTAAAATAAACATACTTTTTCTACACAAATTGAAGAAAAATTGTTATGAAATTCAATACCTTTAAGGTCTTGAAACATAAGTAACACATAGATAAAAGTCCTACAAGAAAAATAAAATGATGAGAAACAGAAATCAATGTAAGTCAAAGCAGCATATATAATACAACTTTCAAAATTTAATATCATACTGACAAAAGTTATGCTATAAAACTTATGTATCACAATTAAATCAAACCACTGACAGCTCTTTCAATCTTGTAATAATAAACTCTGTCTCAGGCTTTCCAGATACATTTCATAATAATGATAAGCTTTGTCTCCAGACTTTGAAGATAAACTTAAAGGGAATGAAAAATTGAAAGTGTAAAAGCAGTAAGATACCAAATGAAAGGGATACTAGCAACATTAATTAAATCAAAGGAAACAACAATATATATATATAGTGCAACTTTTTCTGAAGCTAGATAATACAGATCTCTAATTTCTTCAGTGGTCTGATATGATGTGCTTGTTCAAATAAATCTAGCTCCCAAACAAATAGAGCGCTCAATAATGGGAACTGATATTACCAGTAATTTAGCCAATATACATTAAGTACTTCTTCATTATAGAAGAAATAGTTTTTAAGTGTTAAAGAACTGGCAAATAAATCATCAGTTGTTCCAGAATTACTGGAAACTCTAGTAAGATGAATGAAGTGCCTATATAGTTACAATTTTTAGTATAAACCAATCACTGCTGCACTAAAATGGTTTAAACTTGACTTACATTACATTGTAGTGGACTGTGCTTTAAAAAAAATGTAAGAGAAATTTGAGTTGTTTGCATGATTATATGTCAATTTTAGGATTCCAGTGTGACATTAAAATAATCAAAATTTTGAACACAATAAACTAGTAAAATCATATTTTGATTTAGTTGTAGCACTTTCCAGCATCAGTATAGCCAGGTCAGATGTTGACATAATTGATTTAGTCAAAGTCTAGCTACAATTCTTCCACAGAAATTTGATGTTGCTGGGACATTGTGTTATATATTTACTTGTGATTTAGCACAGTATATCCTAATGTATACATTGCTGTCAGGGCGTTAATAACAGCTCTTGTTACTGTGCAGCAGCTGAGAAGAGTTTTGAAAAGTTGAAATTAATCAAATTCTATCTGAGAACAACACTCACAAAGCTGGCTACTCTCTCCACTGAAAGAAAGGTTGCAAGAAAGTTGAATTTCCAGAAAGTTGTCAACGACTTTATGACAAGAGAAATTAAAAAGTATATTATCACAATTCAATAACTATAAAATAAGCATGTTAATGCAAAAATTTATATTTTAATTAGGTAAGATCATTTTTCCAGTTTTATAACAAAATCACATTCTGAAAAGGGCCTACATTGCAAGGAACCAGAATCTTGTTTTGACCATTTTATAGAATATGCTTTCCTTGTGCTTTTTTAATTTTAAGCAAAAATAGCTTCTAATCAGTTTATCAAACATTATATATGTATTCAATCATCTGAAGTAATACCTGAGTGAAGTGTGTGTCATAATACTTCAGTCCGTGCTATGCTATAGGTCAAGATTAGTCTTTGGAGTTTACATAATTAATATTTGTGTGTCCAGATCAAAACACACAATAGATTTTCACTTCTTTGCATGTTGCATAAGTTTAAGTATAATAAGCATAAACCACCTGGTATAATGTTTAGATATAAATGTATTTGACTTTTAGTAAATATTTTCCACATTTACATTAAGTAAATGTTTTATTCATCTCTACATAGCAAGTTACAGGATGATACCTTAAACAACATTTTTATTTTCTGAATACACAACATTTTCTTTAAAGTTAGTTTCTTTCTTTCTTTGCATAATTTTTTAAACTCCTTGACATATAATGATTCAAACTTTTCTGGACTAGCTGCAAATATCGGAAAAAATGTTAACTGTATCAATGTGATAATGTTTTTTATAGTTGTTTGGCATTTAATCAAAAAGTGTGACATGAGTTTCATAAAACACATTATTTCTGAAAATAGCACCAGCTGATCCTTATCTTGCTTTTCATATTTCGTAGAAATTACATGTTTATATTTTTAGACTTCACAAAGAGCATATCATACTGAAATCCTACTATAGATATCCAGAATTTGAATTCTGCACATCTTCACTGAAACAAAAGAACTTAACTGTTACATCTGAAAAAATTCTCACTGCTGCTTACCATTTCAATTTACTTATTTCATGATTATAAAATTACAGAGATTGAGTAATTTATATTAAAATATTTTCAATATCTAAATCAACAAGTAGTGTGACACCCACAGCAGATGTAGTCATGGTGGAATGAAATGTATCAGAACTACATTTAACATTGTTTGGCACTTTGTATGTAGTGTGATGCCACAGAAAAATCGCCACTTGTATGTAACAGTCTTTTCTAATGAAAAACATTCATACATAAAGATGTTTTCAGATTGGGAATTTAGAATTTCCAAGACTGGAATATCTCTGAATAGCAATGGAAAATATAGCAATATGGATCAACTTGGGATACCTGAGCCATCCAGAAAGAGATCTGTAACGAGTCATATCCAAGCCATGATAAGCAAGGTGTGGGATATTGTAACAGGTGAGAATCCATGAACACAAAGGTCATTAGTAAAAGTTGTTCATACATCCCAGACAACAGTACTCAAAGTAAAAAGAATATCCATCTGAAAAAGTGACACAAATCTCATGTAGATATGTTGTTTTCACAACATATCTGTGAAAGGAAGCCAACTGTAGAAACCTAGCAAATAAAAAATGGCAGTACATGGTGATACCTGACAAACTTATGTGTACTTTAATAACTATAACAAATCTTGTGCCATTTTCTAGTGGTTAGTGGGTGAAAAAATTCACAAGGGTGGCATATGGTATGCCACAAAACTTTTTCAGAGGGATTCACTATCATTGCTGGATACTGTGCCAGGGGCAAGTTAAGGTTCAGGAGAGTGGATACAAAGGTCAAGGTAAACTCTACTTAGTATCAGACCAACTTTCTGTACCCTTTATATAGAAACAAGGCTATGAGTTTTAGTCATACCATTCATTCAATAGTCTCGTGTCTCAAACAGTTAAAGAATGAAACAAGTATTCATGCTATTCCATATAAAAAAAAACTGGTCAAGTAGCTTGATGTAGGACCTGTGGATTTCTGTGTGGTCAAACTGTTGAAACAGACGCCAAGAAACTGCTGTCTACATAAACTAGATGGATTATAGAAAACATGCAAAGTGCAGTGGTGTGCTTTAGATATGACAGCTTTCTGCAATGGAAAATACACCAAGAGGCTATTGTGAAAATACCTAGACATCAGTTTGACAACTTTGTGAGTCTCCAAAACTGTTTTACTTTTGTCATTAAGGAGCACCAATTGAACTTTTACCACAAGAATATTAAAATTTTATTTGATTCTTATTACAGCACTTTATAAAATGAATGGTTCGATCTATTTTCCCAACAATCATGTCATTTTCATAAAACTTTCTGCAGTTGATGTACTTTTTACAAATATGGCAAAGTTGATTTAATGCATGCAAGTTTTGTAGTTTTTCTGAGATGCAGAATTTAACTGACATATAATTTGCATAAATGATTAAAGTTCTCGTGATAATCATTTACTACAGCCATTTACATAACATTTTTTTTTAGCAAACTTATATAAAATCAGTTAGAGCCATTTTCAGACTCTGAAACTGTGATATTATTTTACTATCCATACAAGCAAACTTGGCTTATTTAATAAAGGTAAAACTTTGTTAGTCTATATTTCAGAGTGTGTAATTACCATTTATTTTCCTCTTTGATAATAGAGAATTAAGGCATATTTCCCACAACAAATTTATTTTTTAATTATGATTTGTGCAACCAATTCTGTCTACCATGAAGTACAAAACAATCTTTTTACCCAATTCCCTGGTAAAAAGTGATAATCACTGAGAGATAAAAAATACAATTACATAAAATATGGAAAATTCTAAATATTTTACTTACATTACTTAAAATCTAACAGACTTACATTTAATATTCCTTGTGTATGAAGAATAAAAATAAAATATATTGCTTGTTTCAGGTATTCATGCAAAGCTAAGCAAAGGCTATCTGCGGTAGCTGTCCCTAATTTTGAACTGATAGATTAGAGAGAAGGCAGCTAGTCAATAGCCCTCACTGCCAACTCTTGGGCTACTCTAATAAAATAGTGGGATTTCGTTATTATTTTTATAACGCTCTCACAGCTTTATAAAATGTGCAATACAATTATGTGACAGTTGCATACAAACCATAGACCTTCGAATTCACTGGAACAATTTAAGGATTAAAATTATATAAGAGGAAAACAATTCAGCATTCTTTTGTATAATAGATAATAAAATTAGCAAACAATCAGGAAACTTAATCCTTTTTTTCATACATCATTTGATCCAGGCATCCTCTTCTGTTCATTCAGATGTCCCATTTCATTCAGTACCAATTCTACACAGCTGACTACTTGACTGGGTATTTCTACCTCTGGTCTCTTCACTACAAACTCTTGCCAGTGTCGAAGTAAGGCCTAAAAAACAAGAACAATCTTAATTTGGATTACAGATTTATACTGATAAAAAAACACACATGCAAAAAAAAAACAAAAAACGCCTGGATTAACTAATACTACTTACAGTGTAGTAAAATATCAAAACTAGTTAAGTATTGTAAAAACACAGTTGTTCCCAAAAAAATAAATAAATATTAACTAACCATTTAAACAAAAGTTTTTTTTCATATCTATGCTATGGTTTTAAGACAAAAAAAAATGTTTATTCTATACAATGTATGTCAGCTAGTTTAAAAAGTAAAAGCAAGAATTATCCTACTGATGGAAAACATCTGTATGAAAAAAATAAAGCTACTTGGAACAAAGCCCAAAGGACTAAATTGTATTAAGTTGATGGTTTTCAAAATCCTCAAAATGAAAAAAAAAAGTTATAAGAAATTTTTAAATATAGAAAAATGTTTCTTTTTTTTTCCACATGCCAGTTTTGCAGTTCCTCAGATCATTTGGTCTAATCACTACAAACATTCCTCACAGAAATGCTAATTAAAAACCCTGAATGTTTCAATTTGTTAACATTTTTATCTGAACAATGGGGCATTGATGGTTTTGGGATTCAGAATTAAGAAGTGGTGAGATATGTTCAGCAAACTTTGGACCACAGGCTATTGATTTTGAAAGAATCATGCACTATTGTATGTCTATAGAAACATGATGGCTTTGTTTGCATGCATCTCATAAAAAAATCACATACATAATAGTTAAAAAAAAAAGAAGAGAGAATGAAATGCTTCCTAACATTGTGAGCCAGTGCACAGTAATGACCATGAGCTTAAACCTACTTCATAATTACTAACATACACTTGTCTTCTTATGGCTCATTCACACCGATGTTTTTCAGATTTGAATCAGACCCACTTATGAAAGATATTTTAAATTGATCCCAATACAGAGTGAAAACTGTTCTTATTTTAAAACCTGTAGGCACTTTTATTCTGATTAGAAACCTTTTCTTTATTATTTATTATAGTTATTAAATCTGTTAAAGTAAGAATGATGATAAAAACTCATATTTCTCAAGGCTTGTATTATTCTATGATAAAATAACTTTTTTTTTGTATTGAAACTAATTTGTTACATCACAATCAAAAGAAAGGCCAACATAAGTTATGAATTAAATCTGTTACACAATAAAAAACTTGAAAAACATGTACATATAACAAAAACCTAGATCTATAAAATACTTGAAAACATTTTACTAAATGCTGATCATTACTATCTTTAGCTATCACTTAAACTTAGTAAGAATGCTAAATGTTAATTTCAGTAAATGATAAAAAAAAGAAATATACCCGCAAAAGATAATTACGAAACTCAGCAATGTTTCAAAGATCACCAGTCACCATTTTCAAAGGGTTGTTAAAAATATTCAGGAAGTTATACTTATGTATAAAATGGAAAAATGGGCCAACAGATGGTGCACTGAAAATGTTTTATGAAGGTTATAAACACTTGTAAGTGTATGGAAAAGAATGTTGGCCTGCATCACATTTCATGAAATGTCCAAAATTTTGAGCAGTGTGCCAATCTCTTAGAAACTCTTGTCTGGGAAAGTTGGAAGAGGTATCAAAAGGTTTTATATTGTTTCAATCAATGCTATAAATCAGTCAAAGGAATATGGCTGGCAATTGTAGAATCAAAGATATTTTTTTTTTAACATCTTTTGTTCAATAATAATCAGTTTTATTTAATGTACTATTTCTCAATGTATGATAAGCTACAATTAACACAGTAAATTTTATACATTATGTCAGATATTACCAAAGATATCCTTCTGTCTTTGGGATGAACAAGACTTTTTTAATGACGAGCAAGGTTTATGTACAACTTGGATCACAGCTGAATTAACAATTCTAGCCAGTTTGTTACTAGTTCTGTATATATAAGGTAAGGTGATATGTGCATGAGATGAATTTAAATATTTGTTGTTTTTGTAATCAGGGACAATGCATAAATTACTAACCTTGTTTACTAGTGACACAACAACATATCTTGTATGTGATTTTGGATAGTGGTAATTGAAGCTTAAATATTTATTATCTATATGGGTCAGTTATGGTAAACACTTGAAGTAAGTGTTTTTTGATAATATGTAATCAGGATGTTTAAAAACAGCAAAGTGTCATTATTTTCTTGTTCAAAGGTAAATGTAAAGAAATGGTTTTGAGCATTCAGGTGTATGTAGAGGTGATCAACATATTGAATGGTTGATACAGAAAACATCTTTAATACACCTATGCTAGATTTGACTTTCTTTAGTGAAAGTGTTTAATGGAGAGTTTCACTGTATTCCATTTCCAACTAAGTGAAGGTTGTGCCATATAGTTGTTGAAAAATAACATTTCTAAAAAAAAAAGACTGATCTCTAAACATTTGAAAAGCCATGTACAACAGCAAGAAAAATGTTGTCTTAACAAAAAAAAAATTATAATATTTTTTCCTTTAATTTCTTAACTATTCCTGTGAGTAATGTAAAAGATTAAGATTTTATACAAAACTAAAACTGCTAATAAATAGCTAGGATATTTAATGAAAGAATCACCTCAACTTGCCGAATTTGAGATGTGAGTTACGAATACATTTAATGGATTGTCATATCAAATTAAGATGAAAGTAGAATTTGTTCAAAGTTAGAGTTTAATTAACAAAATGTTTGTTTTAATTGAAATGTTATTCAAAGTCAGAATTAACATTTTTTATGTCAAACTGCATGTAGTGTGATTGTGTTTTCTTTTTGACTATTGCATATTTTATTACTGGAGGGGACTGTGAATTTTATTACCTTCAATTTACAATACCGTATTTTTCGGAATATAAGATGCACCGGTGTATAAGACGCACCCTTATTTTGAAGACAAAGTTTTGGGGAAAAAAAGCTACAGTTGCATTTGAAAGATTTCTATTGAACAAAAATTCAATTTGATTAGGCGATTATCGATGCTAATTGCATTAAGCGCTCTGATTGGTCAAGCGCATTCCACATTTGAATCCAAGGTATGCACTCAAAAACGATTTTTATTTTGTTAAAGTTAGGCCTGAAATGGCCTTATTCTGCTCCACATTAAACAGGGATTGTCGTGTATTTACATGATTTTCACTCTCATCCATTAC